AAAACACATTCATTATAGAAGTCCACAGATAATACTCGTAGTAGCGGAAGGATTAATTTATTTAATCAATTCTTAATATTATAAGATATATTTCGGTATTATTAGCTAAAATAGTTAGAATGATGAAACCAGAAATCGTAAGGAGAATGGTATAAATATATCAGCTTATTTTCAGGAACCTTTAATTTTAGTTAGAGGGATGATATCTTAGACAATTGCTTCCTTGACAAAATAGTCTCATAAAATAGATTTAAATAAGAGAAGAATATATTATATATAAATATTTTTTAAATATTTAGGCGCTGAACCTGTTGATGTTTTAGGCTAGAAAAGTGCCGTAGAACCCAGAAGTGAGTAAAAAAGCTCAGCTTTACTGAAAATAACTATTATCCTCCATGTTATTTACTTATTTACTTAATTACAGACGTGAGTCGTCCTTGGGTGCGTCGAATAGCCTCCGCTAGCCAGACCGATCAGTGGCTTGGCATCGCCAGTTGGTAGTACCGTGCGACCTAAAATCATTGGTCCATCCACTGAAGATGCGGACATCCTTTACCGCATTTTCAACATGAGAGTACGCAAATACTTTTATAGCTGCACCACTTCTCTTCATTCGCATGACATATAAAAATTCATATTTTCCGTAAATAGATATGTCGAACCAAATCATATTTTATCTGTCAAGTCATATAAGACCGCTATTAATCTCAGGATAACCTGGCCACTTTAACATAATATCTAAAGTATTAAAAAATTAATCTCGAATGTAATACATTTTGTTTAAGATTTAGCAATAGAAATTAAAAGGTAGCACTTAAAGTAAGTTTTGATTGAAAAAATTTAAATATTCCAGTACCTAGTTTTTCCAGTGCCATTGTGAATGAAAAACATACATATTCAATATAGAAATTTTTATTTTAAATAACCAATGAACGATACATTATCCATATTCATAATACTGGATCATTATTCTGATAACATTTTTTTATGTTATTCTATAAATATTCATTTAATTGTTGATTTACTAAAGGACTATCTATACTCATGGGTCAATTAAAATAAATTTATTTTTTTTTAACATACATTTATATATAACAGATGACATATGTTTGACACAACTCTTATAATTATTTTCAACACCCACCTGCTACACTTCAAGTAAACAATAACAAATGCCAAAAATGTTATTAATAAGTAACAATCACTATTTTATCTGTCAAACAGTATTTTTTCAACAAATAATATTTTATAATAGCAAAAAAATATTGTGCAAATAAACAAAAATTCGCTCAATAACGAATCAAATGATTTTATTAAACAAAAAATTCATATTTTTTTAATAAAATAAAAAGCTGAGTTGTTATGCGTAAGGCGGCACTGGGGCAGTAAATACAGCGATTATTAACAATAACAAATAACAATGAACAACAAAGAAGTAATGATAGCAATTATTAATAACTTTTATAGGCACCAACCGCCTTCAAATTGGCGGCACTTAACTTTGTGTTATTGTTAATAGTGTAATGCGAAATTATTATGAATAAAATTATTTTAGTAAATTACTTGAATTGATTTGTTCATATTCAATATGAAGGAGCTACCAGAAACTGACTTTAAATTTAAAATTGAAAATAGTTGTGCTTTCTTATAGCCTACTAAAAATATTGATATTATAAATATCCATCATTAGTGTTCTACGAAATATTTTTTGTATTTAATTATTTATAAATAACTTTTTGAGATTGCAACTACAACGAACTGAACTCATGCCCTGCCAAATTTGAAGCTCAGAGTCAGTGTTCATTAGCCAACTGTCCCAAAGCTGTATTTGACTTTTATGTTCGCACAATTTTCTAGCGTTTTGTTAAGTTGTTGTGAAAGTTTTTAAGTTTTTAAATTATAATGATCAACTATATCTCTAAGATACTTCAATCCTAAAATAAAAATTATTCTTTCTGATCAAATATATTTAAATAATTTCATTTTAATTTGAATTACTTCTTGCTATTCCATACTTATAATCAATGGACAGTGCTTGAATAGGTTTTTATCCAAAACAAAAAAAAAGTTTTTCAGCTATTTTGTCATTATTCAGATTTCGATATACTTAATATATGTATATCTTTATCAACAAAGCTCTATTATTAAGCATTTATTAAAAGTCCATAATATTAAGTTCATAATTACATTACATATAATACTCGAAATCAATGTGCAAATCTTTTAGGGTTTTCAATTTGTAAAACGCTCCTACCATCCCGGAAAACATTGACTTTTCTTATCCTTTGATTATTTTGTAGCCTTCTGAATGTAGTCTTGGATCCACACTTTATTAACAGTTTCAAATTCAGGCAAGAAGTTAATCTTGTTTCACTTCTAAAGCATTTGTGTTTTAGGTTCAAGTAGAGCAAACGCGGCACATAATGGTGAAAGAAATTTCTTGTGCTTAACTCTCCATAGAATATTTATGATTACTGGAACACCCACAGTCCCAGCAAGTACTTTGAATTTTCTTCGCTAATCATCCACTACAATATTCAGCATTTCTCTATATTTTTGTAATCGGCGGCAGTTTTTGATCGTTAAAATGGGACTTCAACAACTTAAGGGGTGCGATCATGTTTCCAGTCAGATTTTCAAAGTTAATCTATTTATTTTGTATATAATAACAAAGTCCTTATAAACTTCATCCAATTTACATTTAATTTGATAATATATTGTTACTTTTTAAATAGAAATATTTGATCGCAGGACGTGGATGTAAAAGTATTTTTATTTTATTCATAAACACTTAATGTCGGCTGATGAAATATATTATTAAAATTAAATTGGACTATGAACTGTTGAAATTAAAAAAATTTGCATATTTATATATATAAAATAAATAATTTAATTTCAAAAAATAAAATAATTTTTCCATAGTATAACATGGAATACAACACTTTTTTTAATGCATAGCTAAAAACCAATAATTAGAATTACCACTAATCAAGTTTAAACGACATGTAATCAATTTTTTCATTATAGTTATAGATCAAGGGTTCTAAATTTTCTTGGAAAGTTATTTAAAGGCATTACTCACACATATATACAAAAAGTTTAAGATGAATGTACAATGTAAGGCCATCAGGAAGTTAGACCACAGCGAATGACGCAAAATTTGGGTAACTTGGGGATCAGAAAATAACTATGAGTATAACTATAGAAACTCTTCGTATTCCAGAAAGATTTTTTTACTGTTTTTTAATTGGTTTGAATAAACAATATTAATTTTGATGTATCAATAGAAGAATTTTATTTATTAGTATCCCATGAAAATATATCACTTTCAGAGATTGATAAGATGCATAGGTAAATAAATATTAGTATAATATTATATAATATTAGGTAGTATGTTTCAAAAGTTTCACCAGCTTCTCTTATTTATTATATATTATATTAAATATATGTACGAGTGGTTTCCATTCATACATATAGTTTTATAAACCTACATATAAAATGAAGTGACTACCTATCTACATATAGTTTTGTAGTGTAAAAGTTTTCATACATCTAATCACACTATTGTAGTGACATAAATATTAATGGAAGACTAATAAAATAAATTGTCCTTTTGGTAGTGCAGATTGTTAAGTTTAATTCTGATAAAAGCTAAATATGAATAAATTTTGTGAAGATAAAAAATGTGAAAAAAATTTTTCTGGAAACTAGTTATTGCTTAAAAAAGTTTAAAGAAAATTAAAATGTTCCTTAAAAACAAAAAAATTTGTTTTAACCAATACTCTCTGTTAATTAAGTTAATATATCTTTCTGCTTTGTTAATCATATTTTTTGTATAGTTTATACACATTACAAAAGTATAAAATAAAAACATATCCAAGAAGAAAAAATAACATCTGATAAATAAAATCTGTCAATCACAAAATAAATATGTTTCTATTAATTAACAAAATTTAATGATATTTAAGTTATAAATCATTAATTAAATGCTCATTTGGCTCCAAAACAATATTATACCCAAATAAAAATGCTTTTTATAGGTTATTAAAAATTCAAGAAATTTATATTGATATTTGATAGATTTTTTTATAACCATAGAAGATAAAAAAGCCATTTTAAATTATAGATATATTTTTCTTGTTAGTGAATTAACATAATTTGTTTGACAATTAGAACATTTTGACACATCACACCAATATCAAAAACACTTTTTATGTCACAGTCCCACATAATTGATCGGAGACCTTCAAGTGGTGACGGTAAAAATCAGCCAACTTAATAAAGCATGAAATGCAACTGAAGAACTTCATTAAAAACCAGAAATCTTGTAAGTATATAAATCAAACCGGAGACGCATTTACAGCCCATTAAAATGAGATTAATGACTTTATATCAGAGCCGAAGAAGATGCATTAGAAAAATGATATGAAAAAATACTTGACTACGAAGATTTGCTGATAAAATTGGGCTTAAAACAAAAACTTTTAAAAATCGAAAATAGGCAAACGAGTTTAACTTACAACATGACGCACTTTTTCTCCGCCTCGTCTTTCTTTAGGTCTTGGTTGGATTTTTGACCAAAACATTGTCATTGTCATTGCAAAATATCGGACTTTTTTCCGACTGACTGGCTGAGCTGCGTTCGCATCTTGTAATTGAGCAAAAGATAATATAAAAAATTGTGAAAAAGCTACCACGAGATACGACCGATGGCTGAAGAGTTTTGTAAAAAGTTTTTCTAATGATTTTGGCTATAAAATTTAAATTTTGACTATAAAAATGCAGTAAAGTCGTTTTCTTAGTATCATTCGCTGCGCAGCTGTAGCAGAGTTAAAACAACCAAAAATCTTAAGATAAAAACAACAAAAAACAATGGTAAGATGGATGAATTTTTCGAATTTTGGATTACGGTGTTATCAATTAAATGGAATAGATATAAACACAAAATTAGTTAAATAACAAAAAGTCGCTTTAATATTATTCTTTGTGTTTTTATACAGAAATTCTACGTATTTGTGATATGTGCCATCGCCGTCGCATCGGCCGATGTGTCTCATCTATCGTCAGGCAATGGATATTCTTACAACAGGCCTACCCCAACATTTAATGCACCATCAAATGACTATTTGCCACCTGCTCCAGTGCATTCACAACAATTGTCAGAACCAATTTCAGCACCTGCACCAGCACCAGTGTACTCAGCACCAGCTCCAGCACCAGTATACTCTGCTCCAGCTCCCGCTCCAGCACCTGTGTACTCTGCTCCAGCACCAGCACCAGTTTACTCAGCTCCAGCACCAGCACCAGTTTACTCAGCTCCTGCTCCAGCACCATCGAACGAATATTTACCACCTGCCCCAGTACAACAACAATACTCTGCACCCGCCCCAGTAGAACAACATTACTCTGCACCAGCACCAGTTGAACAACACTACTCAGCTCCTGCTCTAGTAGAACAACACTACTCAGCTCCCGCTCCAGTTGAACAACACTATTCTGCACCAGCTCCAGTTTCAATTCCATCAAATGACTATTTGCCACCTGCACCAGTACATGCACAACAATTGTCTGCACCTATTCCAGCTCCAGCACCAGTATACTCTGCACCAGCCCCAGCTCCAGTCTACTCTGCTCCAGCACCTGCACCAATTTATTCAGCACCCGCACCAGTGTCTGCCCCAAGCAATGACTATTTGCCACCAGCTCCAGTACAACAACAATACTCTGCACCCGCCCCAGTAGAACAACATTACTCTGCTCCAGCTCCAGTAGAACAACATTACTCTGCACCGGCTCCAGTAGAACAACACTACTCAGCTCCCGCTCCAGTTGAACAACACTATTCTGCACCAGCTCCAGTTTCGGTTCCATCAAATGACTATTTGCCACCTGCACCAGTACATGCGCAGCAATTGTCAGCACCTATTCCAGCTCCAGTTTACTCTGCACCAGCCCCAGCTCCAGTATACTCTGCACCAGCCCCAGCTCCAGTCTACTCTGCTCCAGCACCTGCACCAGTATACTCTGCTCCTGCACCTGTTTCAGCACCAAGCAGTGAATACTTGCCTCCAGTATCAGCTCCAGCTCCTGCTCCAGCACCAGTATACTCCGCTCCTGCTCCAGCACCAGTGTACTCTGCTCCAGCTCCAGCACCAGTGTACTCTGCTCCAGCACCTGCACCAGCTCCAGTATACTCTGCTCCAGCACCTGCACCAGCTTCAGTCTACTCTGCACCAGCACCTGCCCCAGCTCCAGTATATTCTGCTCCCGCACCAGTTGAAAGTAACGATGATGGTTATCATTACAACAGACCAGCAAAACGCTTCCGTTTCTAGGTCTTCTGAATTGAATCTCTTGTTAAATTAATAAGAGCGATTGTTGTTATGTTTGTATTGTTTATTGTTGATTTTTAGCTTAATAAATATAAAAATTTAAAAATGGATTCAGATTTGAGTAAGGAAAAAGTTTCCACTGATATATGTTGAAGGAGAGTTTCTTTTAAATTAACAGAATACCTTGGAAATACTCATTGCAAAAAGTAAAAAAATTCATTTAATCAAAATTAGAAAACATCATTTAGTAAATAAATTAAGTTAGTTACTAAAACTTTCTTCATTACAAAGAAACTGACTAATAGATATTTTTAAGTTCCAGTGACAATTTTATAATAATTAAGAAATCAAACACAAGCTAAGCTCTTTCAGTTAACTAACATTTACAGTCAGTGTTCAACTTAGCTTAAAAATGTGGGCTAAATCAGATTAGAATAAGATAAATATATCGCTCATTTGTCTCTTTGAAAGCGAAAATTAACTTAAACTGATTTCCAAAGTTTCTTAACCTTCTATCTAATCGAACACACTAATAAATAAATGATTGGAAACAAAAAATACCATCAAAACAGATTGCAAGCAGTAATTGAACATTTAAACTGAGTAACTACTTCAATCATCTTTCAAATAGTTTAAAATAGGCAATAGTCATATTGCCAGTTAGCGACACTCCAAAAACTGAGAACAAAAAATAAAATTAACAAAAGAAAGTATGTGGCAATTAATGTTAATATATAAAGGCAATTATCTTAGAGCATTAACTAAAAGCTTCAACTGGTAGTGTATGTATTCGTTTGATATCGTTTAGTATTAGTATTAGTTTAATATTAAATATATCAAGAAGTTTATATGTATAATAAAAGCAACACATTTTTAAGCATTTCTTTTTCAGCAGTGATTTTCACTTTTCTTAATCTCTTTAATCGTACAGCAATAATCCATTGTTTTGTTTGTTGGCACCTCCTTCTTTTTCAAGAAATCTACAAATATTCATATTAAATGACTTATTATCTTACACAATAGGATTTAAAGTAACTTATAACGTTTTATTCCCTTCTTTCTTCAAAGGTTATTCTTTCCATCTCGTTGTTATATTGAATTAAAAATGATTATTAAACCTAACCTCTCAGTAATTAATTAATTGAGATTGTTTTTTTATCAGGAGAGAATTCTCTCTACTGCACTTAATATCATTCACAGAGGCAGAATAACTATTTGGTTGTATGCAACTATATTACTTTTGAGCATCTTTGAAATCTTTTCGTCTTTGAATCATATTAGACCTCATTTTTTTGTAAACCTTATGCTTTAAGATTTAAAATATTTATTTACATTGTTACTATGTTACTATTATTCCATTATTATTACAATAATTTTTTCCACAAAAGCGAGCTATAAATACCTATACCCATTTGCATCCATCTATTTTCATAACTCTCAGTTCGAGAGTTATAAGATATAGATTAGGTTAGGTTCAGAAGGTACATGCTGACAGTTGTCAGCACTTCCACTCGGAGGCATATGTAGCCCATTGTGATGACCTCAAAATTATGCAGGAAGAGGCGACTTGCTAAGCTTTGTTATCCTTGTTAAACCATTTAGTTTTCTAGATGAAGTTGAGGAGGAAAACCAAATGAAAAAAAAGCGATCCCCAAAACATTAAAGTCGCCTTGTCTGTAGTCCTGGACAAAGACACAGGAAGTGGTTGTTAGATTTTACCTCTTCTTCATCTTTTCAATTCCTAACATAATCCACTTGTTGGAACTCACCACGGTTGGAGCATGGGCACAATGGCACTGTGCCCCGTTAATATTCCAGTAAGTACACGAACTGCAGGTTTGCTGAAGCTTAAAAGGTTTTTCGTTTTATTTTTGTCCAAACTAAACAATAAGGTTCTAGCGACCTCACAGTCTTCGCCGTTAGCTCATAAATTGTTAGTCTCTATTATTCTAAACAGTTCACATATCGGTGTTTGTAAGATATAAGTCTAATTGAAATCTAATTCACTTTGGTCACCCTATATATAATAGTATCTTCGATATATAAAGTTTATATTCAAGTATCAGAGTTCTTATAACATTGTTTAATATATATAAATTTTTGTTCACGGCAATAAATTATTTAATTTTATTGTCTCAATTTTTCAAACTAAGTCAATGTTGGCATATAAAACCATCACACACTGTCAAAAAATCACCTGAAATCAATTAAATTTTTTAAGAAAAAGACAAAACATGATGGGAGTTCATGCTTTAAACTAAATAATTTATTTTAATAATTTAGTAGTTCATTGTTTTATAAACAAAAAATAAATACTATAGATGTTTAACAATAAAAAAATAAATACATTTTTACACATGTAGTATTTGTGTATAAATGGATTATTTTTATGATAAATTAAGAAGAAAAAGGTGTGAAGCAGATGAATTACAACAAAAAATTCAACAAAGTTATTTAATAAAATATTTTAAAAGAAACAATAAATTCGTCAAATATTTTATTTAGCATCACATGAGATATGCAAAATCACATCTGTCGCAATTGTGCATAGTTCGAGGTTGACAAAAACAGATTTGAAACAAATTCAAGCAAATGCAAATTTTTTTCAAATTATGTTGTTATAAAAACTAGAGTGAATAAAATGTGAACAACATTTATGTGCAGACTACACCAAACTAAACACTTAATAAGCGAAAAGATTGAAAATGGTAAGTTCATAATGCTAATATAATAAGAACACACACTTGAATTTTATATTATCTCTTCACACATTAGATATATCTTGTGTTAACACTTGTCACTATAGGTGCTGTGATAGCTGACGTTTCACACTTGAGTGATGGTTACAATTATGATAGACATACATTGAATATACCAGTCTCACTTGAACACAACCATATACAACACGAAGCACCAATTCAAGAATATCTACCACCAGTACAAGAACACCATCATCATCATCAGCATGAAGAGCAGCACCAGCATCACCATCAGCACTTTAGTACACCTGAATCAGAATCAGAGTTTCAGCCGTTAGTACAAGACTTTCATGCACCATCTAGTGATTATTTGCCACCAACCGAAGAATATCATATATCAAGCAACGAATATGTACCACCAGCACAAGAATATCATGCTCCAAGCAATGAATATTTGCCACCAACACAAGAGTATAGTGCACCTGGACCAATAGAAGATTATCATGCTCCTGCTGTTATTTCACACCAACATGAGCATATTCATCATATACCATCAGTTCCCATTACCGAATATTTACCACCTTCACATGAACTGCATGCTCCAGTGTCCGCACCTTTACATGACTATATTCCTCCTGTACACGAACAACATCATCACCATCATGAGCATCATGAACATCATGACTCTGCAGCTATTCAAGAATACAATTCGCCAGATGTTTATACCGCTCCTGCCACACAAACTGGTGGCTATCATTATAACAATCCATTCAAACGGCACCGCAGACGTATCTAAAATGCATTCAAGGAAGCTTTTATTGCACATGAAGAGTGATTTTAGATTTACATTTAAGAAGCAATTTTGCATGTTCATTATTTAAATAAATTGTAAGTCAAAGTAACCAAATATTATAGTGACGTAGTTAATTTTATAAAAATTTAAACTGATTTGTGTAATAAAACTATAATGTCAGCATTTCTTTCATTCTACTTTTCTATTCTGAGAATTGTTTTAAGTTACTAATAAAAATTAGTATACAGTTAATTTCAAAAAATTAATTTATAATCAAATACAATAGAATACACGCAAGAGAAGCAACAAACAATCTATTAACTCAAAAGACCATAAAATTAATTTAAACAATTTATGCAGACTTTTAGGTGCGAACTTACAGAATTCAATTTATATTCACAGCTCCATCTCTTGATAACACACCAGAGCTTATCGTATTATATAATACAATTTTTATTAAATAAAGTTATTTTTATAACGTAATTTAATCTAATTTTTTGCAAAATAAAATGATAAAAAGACACATTAAAACAACTAATGGAGATCTTATATTGTAATACTCTGAACGAAAATCATATGTAAATATAATTAAACGTTAAATATTAAAGATTTAAACGAAATTTATTTTTTGTTTTTTGTTTGTTGAACTCAATTCCCGAATTTCAGATCTTAAATTTTACGTAAAAAAAATGAAAACATAATTTTAGCAATAGTAAATAACACAAATTTTCTTATCTTCCCTATGTTTCGATACTTTCAGATACCTTTTTATACAGACATATAATCCCAATCTTTCAACAAAGGGCTAAAGTGGTTAAGCTCAATATACTACTAATTAGCACAGAAAATTTATTATCCCAAATTAGGAGTCTCTTACACCGCACACATCGTTTAAGTAGACTCTGAAAGATATCGAAAACTGAGATCAAACCAACAACAGCCTCCGCACTGTGTCCAAATGTGGATTCTGAGAATGCTGCCAATTCACTTCCTCCAAATTTTTATCTTAAAATATACCAGTATATAAAACTGATACTACTAAGACCGAAGTGTTTGATGGATGCACCAAGTGAGTCTCTAAATAGTTTGTTCCTGGCTATAAGGATCTCAGTCAACATGTATATGTCCAAGTTGTCCGATCTAGAGTACCCAAACGTTACTATTATAAAATTAATGTCAGAGATGACTAACTCAGAGTAGTTACTGTAATTAAATACAAGAAAGTACATAAGAAAGTTAGCCCATATCAAGCTTTATTCTTCCAAAATCTTTTCGATTGCACTAAAATTTCATCTATCCCAACCCGATAGTAACATTGTGATTATTCGTAAACAATAAATTTTTCGTGATCCATTTTTCTATTTGTTTGGTAAGCTATAAAAACTTTCATAAGAAGGTGCAGGAAAACTTACAGCCAATGTTTTAATAAAAATCTAGTTAAATATAAAAAAATTTTCTACTTCTAGAGACAAAGAGAATATTACCATAATACAACAAACACATTGTAATGCTACGATTCAGAACTATGTCTCTTCATACCCAACAAAACTATTCAGAGTACTTTGATGGAGATGAACCGGCAGTGTACCTGTTTTATTGTTGCTTACAAATTAGACCATCAAAACTGCAGTAGCTCGGATACCGAAACACGAGGTGAATCAACTTATTAAGCATTCAATTACAGCGAGCCAATGTTCATTGAAATAAATTAATAAAAAGTTTCTCAGTAATAAGTGATAACTTCCAAAATCTGATTACAATTGTATAACCTTTAGTTGTGGCAAAATTGTTCCCTCACGTACTTGGAATACTGGAATACTTATCGGCTAATTGTTATATAAAAGGAACCTTCCGCCTGCAAAAATCAATTGTTAATTTGAGTGATTTGGTACAAATAAGTGTCCAATCTATGCAAAATCGTAATCTACAATTCGATAGTTCCTGAGGCACTAAAATACAGTCATTAATTAGTTATGGTTGAAATTCATTTTCCTGAAACCTTTCACCTTCATCCCATAATCCGTATGGAACAATCGCAAAAAATTGCTGTGATATATATGTAAAAATGCATGATTAAGACGAATTAAAAAGACTCTGTTCGCGTACATATCAAAAATATTATTTAAAGTTTGACACACTGTTGCTCTAGAAATATAAAGGAAGTAAGCTTTATTGCTTTATTTTTTGTAGTTCAGTTATGAAATGATATATTATGATAACAATAATATACCCTGTGTACTTAGGCTATTAATACAATTAGTAACTGACAAATTTTTGTACCCCCAACGGAGCAGAACTTTTTAATATCTATTGAAAATGTGAAATGGTTCGTAATTATCGTTTTCTCACGACACTAGAATCTTGTTAATTTGGATGCGGTAGTTGTCGTCAACTCGTAGAGAACCAAAGATCTTACGATGAACTTTTCTCTCAAACGTTCCTAGTGCTGCGCCGCTCAACTAACAGAAACAAAATTGCATGAATGCCCTTTAGAGTGTAAGTTCTGTTTGTTGAGAGAGAGCTCTACATCCCAATTGACTACTGAGCCTATAGTTGCACCTATTAGCAACAGTGATTCTTCGTGTGATCAGGCTGACATCACTGTTGTTTGTCATGGTGTTGTCAAGGTAGATGAAATCCTTGTCAGATTCGAAAGTATGATCGCCAGTCGACGTTCAAATGAAGGAAATTTCTACCTAAACCGGACATTTCATTTTGCCATCATTTACCGCTAAGCTCGTTTTTGTAGATTCATTTTCAATAGCAGCAAAGGCAGTTGCAACATCACGGTTATAATCAGGCTTATTATATACTCTTTATCGGCATGAAGAAACAAATTTTGCGCAATTGATAAGTCTGTGTAATAGCCATCTCTTGTACGATAACTGAATTGGTTTTCACTATCGTGTGAAGAAACTTTCCTGGATTATTTCCATTTTAAATATGTGAAGTAACTCATCTACTCAAATAGACTAGAAATATAAGACCAATAGATGTCAATATTAACTGAATTATTTTCAATATACGCCATCAAGTGGTCAATAGTTGAAATTCCAAATATCGTTTTGATCGAGCCAGCCAAGTGGATTAAATACCATGATAAACAACATAAAACAATCTTTGCAATAAAGTTTTTTTTGATGACTTGGGGTTTTTTGCTAAGAATCATATATCTCAGAAATACGTTTAAAAATTACTAGTATCTTAATAAATGTATACCACTAGTATCACGTCAACATTTAAATCTTTTTTAACGACTCACTTATGCAATCTTAAAATCAATTCTTTCAGTGAAATAATTTGTGAAAAATTAATGAGCTTTAAAACTTTTTGAATTCATAAAACTAATGTCTTTAATTAAAAAAAAAAAATGTCATAAAATCTATACTAGTTCAGATAAGCGCATCACACTTAAAACAATTTGCAGGTGAATGACCAATTAGTCAAAATTATGCGTAAAATTGTTGTATTTGACATGTTTTTTATTGCAATTATCTGATGAAAACTATTTTTTTGTTTAAACAATAAATTTTAAATCATTAAATAAGTTTTAAGTGCAAACAGAAGTGCTAGTCATTTTGATTTAAGATACATTTGATTAAATTCGAAAATAAGACATTAAATTCTGTTATACAATATATTAGAATAAGAAATATTTTTAGGAACTTTCTAATTTAAGGTTTCTGATTAAATAAAGCGAATCCAACCAGCTAAACGGGTACACTTTAGATAGTCAATCAAATTTCAATCAGTAAAGTTCTCCAATTGCACAAACAATATCATCAATTTCTGTTCGAATCGATATTATAGCTGAGTTGAGTAGTCAAGAAATACTTGTGTATTAAATGTTAATTCTTTTATAATATTAGAAATAGAAAGTCTGAAGCAGAACGAATTTGATGAAATGACTTAAGTTATTTCAACCGAAAAGCATTAAATTAATCAAGTTCTTAATTAAAATTATTACTTAAGTGGAATAAATTAAAGAATTTTTTGGCCAATTATTTATCATGATAATAAATGTCCCCGAAACTAAAGAAAATGCAGTATATTATTATATATAAAAAACAATTAAAGTCCAGTTTATAAAAGTTAAATGGTGGCAAAGTAGAGCCGTATAATGCCTAACTCTATCCAAATCTTTGTAGATTTCAGTCGTAAACAGAGTAAAGCTTAAAGGTGAACTGAGTGTCAGTATGGCTTCAGCTATTATTTCATTCTTTGCGTAGGAATTAATGCTTTAATATATACCATTTCAGATCATAAACTAATAGATGACGATTTATATAGCTTTAACCTTACATAATGACTGCGGCTATATATTATGTATATTCTGATAATGTATAGTATTTATCCTCAATTTGTTAATTTCCTTTTTAAAAACATTAGTTATATTTCCCTACTATTCTAGATCTACAGAAAATTTCTTGTTATTTTTCTATACGATATATCCTTATTTGAAGTTCGTCTACCTTTTTGCTTTTAAGGTTTTAAGTTAATTAATGGAATAGATGGTGGAAGTTTTTTTATTGAAGCAAATATTATAATCTTATTAATCTCAGCAGAAATTATTGTTTCTCTTGGATCTACTTCAATACAGTCAATTAGTATATATATGCTTTCAGATAGTTGGTGTAAAGATCTTTAATTCAGTCTTTATAACATCTAAAACGGTATTTGATTGATTGAAAAGATGACGACGTAGATTTATTCTATATCAAATTAATCACATGAAAATAAAGTTTATCCTGTGTTTTCTTCTCTATTTTTTAAGTAATAGTAACTAATTGGGGGTAAATACCGTTGACCACTAAAATATCTTACATTTATATTTGAGACATGAGATATAAAGGATAAACAACACGCAGACAACTGAACTAAAGATTAACTGTATTGAATAGCAAATTTAATCATACAATTGGGATACTACGCAGAATATTAGACATATTATGCTGAAAATCATC